AAATCCGTACATTCTAACCAATGTAAGTTTTACATTCACATTACAAATCAGACATGAAAATGCTGCACAAGAGAACCCTAGGAGTTTTGAAAGAAACGGGGGGTGGGGGGAACCCACACATTCTAGTATTCATGTTTTAATTAAAATAATCACGTAGCAACTTGAACGTGCCAGAACTCCCGCCACAGTCACCTTATCAGTCACCATGGGGACTACTCTGAAACACTAGCTTGGCAATTACTCAACAATAGGAACCGATCTGGGAAGAGAAGATCTGAAGCCTGTTCACCTCATCTGAACACAGGGAGTCACCCATACTGAGCTATTTAGAACATCTCAGGGTCATTACAAAGAATCACAGAGTTGGAAGGGACCTCCAGGGTCATCTAGTCCAACCCCTTGCACAATGCCTCCCCCTCCACACCCTCAGTGACCCCTGTTCCATGCCCAGAAGATGACAAAAAACCTCCAGGATCCCTGGCCAAACTGGCCTAGAGAAAAATTGCTTCCTCACCCCAAAGTGGCAATTAGCATTTCCCTGGGCGTGTAAGAAAGGGCCACGAAAAATAAGCACTGATACAACCCTTCCTGCCCTCCCTCTCATGATCTGCCTAGGTTCACATGGTCAGCATTGCTGTCAGATGGCCATCTAGCCTCTGTCTAAAAGCCTCCAAAGAAGAAGAGCCCATCACCTCCCGAGGAAGCCTGTTCCATTGAGGAACTGCTCTGTCAGGAAGTTCTTCCTAATGTTTAGCTGAAAACTCTTCTGATTTAATTTCAACCCGTTGGTTCTGATCCGACCTTCTGGGGGAGTGGTGGGCAAACTCATTAGTCAAGAGAGCCAAATATCAACAGTACAACGATTGAAATTTATTTTGAGAGCCAAATTTTTAAAACTTAAACTATATAGGTAGGTACATTGTTATTAACTTAATTAGGGTACTCCTAAACTGGCCTTTGCTAAGAATGTCCTCAGTCTGATTGAGGTACGTTCGCTGAGGTCGACCCCTTCCAACTCTCCCATCCACTCGTCTTGTATACTTGTTTCATCTCCTTTCGTTCATCCTCTCTATATGTCCAGAGTATCTATAACATTAAATCATGACAATGACTGACAAACACTAATGTGAACAATGGCCTTGCATCTCCTTGGAAAGTTTGGGTAAGTCAGGTTTGTATGTTGTTTTTAATTTTAGGCACACACCAGAGAGCATCAATATGTATGGCCTCGCTGGACCAGATTCAAGGTTCTTAGCTAGCAGCTAGCATTCTGTTCCCAACTGCAGCCTTCCAGAGGCCTCTGGAAGCTCAAAGAGCTGTTTGCCCTCCCCCATTCTCTCAACAGCATTTCATATTAAGAGGTTCAGTGTCCCTGAACGCAAGCTTGATTAAGTTCACAATACAGCATTATGATCCTTTTAAAGTTGAAAGCATGATATAAATGCAAAGGACTATTTGTAAGATTATCTGTAAGACACAAGACCAGGACGCATCTCACTTCTGGCAATCACTTGGAGAGACCCTATCACTCAGCTTCCATTGCCCCACACACATCCCACACTGGAATAAGAACATAATATCAGGCCATAGCACATTGCAATAAAGCCCCTACAACTGTATACAGAAATACTGAGCTTCCCTACCATTTGCCACAACTAGCCCACCACACAACCAGGATCAAGACTCCTAAGTGGACCAACAGACAGGCATACACTCGTTTGAGAAACTGAGTATTACATTACAACACCTCTGGAACATTACAGATCAGTAGAGGCAGCACTGCACAGTGGCCAGAGTTGCGGATTGATGTGGGGAGACCCAGGTTTGTATTCTCACTCTGCTGGCTGAGTGACCCCGGGCCAAATCTCCCCTTCTCTACCTAACCTACCCCACAGGGTTGTTGTGAGGATGAAATGGAGACTCATGGGCAGGGTCCCCAGCTTCCCTGGCAGGAACACTATGTTAAGAAATCTCTCACAATTATGCAGCCATAGCAGGCAGGAGGGAAGGAGGCGAATACCTCCAGCGCTAGAGACTTGTAGAGGAAGAGTCAAACTTTGGGGACTCACCCGTGCACCAGAGGGCCAAGGCAGCAGGAGGCAAGAAGCCTAGGCGAGCTGGGCTCCTCCATGCCTGGCAGAAGATGAGTTGCAGAGGCGAGAGGTGGGCAAGCAGAAGAGGCACTCAGCCAGCCGCACAAGCTGCGTGCAGAGAAACTCCCGCTGCCCCAAGCTTCAGGGCTGCCTCATTAAAGGAGTGCAGAGGCCAGACTCGCAAATGAGAAAAAGCAAACTCAGGGTTCGTGGGTCGCATTTTGGGCTGTGGAAGAGGAACCGGCTCCATTCCTGGAGTACTCTCGAGTTCCTGCGCTTTTGGTTTTGTTTTTTGCCAATCCGCCTCCCACGACTGCTCCAGGTGCTCCGGCCTGAGGGCTGCTGGGGCTTCCCGCAGTTCGGCCCCATTATATCCTATGGGCCACTGAAGTCAATGGTGAAAACATAGGGTGTATTCTGGGGGCTGGAGGGGAGGGGGTTTGAGGGAGAGGCTCCAGAATCGCAGGGTAGCTGCTGGAGCCTCTCCCCAAGATATCCACCATGTTTCAGGAACATTGAACCAGGGGGTCCAATTCTACAGGCCCCCAAACAGGTTGCCCCATTTCCTCCATTGTTCTCTATGGTGGGAAAAAAGTTACTTTTTCCCCACCATAGAGAACAGTGGAGGGAATAGGCCATCAGCGCCTACAGCGGGAGAGCCACACTCAAGGGGCCAAAGAGCCGCATGTGGCTCTAGAGCCTCAGTTTGCCTACCACCGTTCTGGGGAAACAGGAAGCAACTCTGCACCATCCTCTATATGACAGCCCTTCAAGTACTTGAAGATGGTTATCATATCACCCCTCAGTCTTCTCCTCTCCAGGTTAAACATATCCACCTTTCCTCGTAGGACTTTATCCCCAGACCCCTCACTATCTTCATTGCCCTCCTCTGGACACGTTTCAGCATGTCTATATCCTTCTTAAATTGTGGTGCCCAAAACTGAACACAATACTCTAGGTAAGGTATGACATGAATCAGTTTCCTTACCCAGCTATACACTGGTTCAGATAAACCCGCATCTCACGCCTATCTATTTTACCGGCGGCGAAACTCTCAGTTGCAAGCCCTTCTGACAAGTTTACAATTGGCAAGAGAGAGTCTTGGGCTTGGATTCACTGAGGTGGAGAGCCGCGGAGCAGGGACCCTTCTCTCCCACGAGCAGCATTTCAGGGGGCATTTTGGGCTACAGCGGGAGGGGAGATTTCTGTTCCAGAGGCAGAAACCCTTCTGTCCACAGAAGCACTCCAATTTATACCCTGCCTTCTTCCCCAATGAGGAGCCAAAGCAGCTTATATTGTTATCCTCTCCTCCATTTTATCCTCACAACCACCATGCAGGGTTAGTTAGGCTGAGAGTGTGCATGACTGGCCCAAAGTGACCCAGCAAACTTCCATGGCAGAGTGGGAATTTGAACCTGGGCAAGCCTTGGTTTTCTTCACACAGGGCAGTACAGACATCTCGCTCCCCCCCATACACCTGTACAGGAGAAACATCAAGGGTAAAGGGCCCTCCATGCCCACAGCAATTGCTCAGCCTGCACACAAACACTTTTTCACGCCACCCACACAAACATCGGAGAGCCTGCATCTTAGTCAGTTTGCAAGCTGATCATTTTGACCCAGATCTTCACACTGCAAAATGTTCTTTCCCTCCAGCCAGATGGCCTCAGGCCCAGTTCACACAATACCATGACGATGTAGCTGCTGAAAACCAGCCCAGCTCTGTGTGGGTAAGCGAAGCCCCATCGCACAGCAGCAACCTATGCAAGCACTGGTCGAAAGGCTTCCTTGCCATGCCAGCAGCCACACTAATTGGTACAGTAACACTGAAGGATGAGGCTTCATGATCTGGCTGAATTACAGGCGGCACCTGGATATAGTATCAGCTTGTGGCCACATGAGCCAGTGGGCAGCTTCTACGTTGCCAAAGGTAAGGTCCAGTTAGGCTCTCGAAATTGCAAGGTCCAGACAAAGGAATCCCTGACAGGTTTAGTAACCTACTCAGCATAGTCTGCAGGCAGGAACACACCAAGAAGCAAGTCAGCTTTCCAAATACATACAGGTTATCACTGCCACATCTTTAAAAACACTACAAGAGCTCTTCTGGATCAGACCAGTGGTCCATCTAGACCAGTCTCACACAGCAGCCAATCAGTTGCCCCAGAAGGCCAGTAAACAGGTCACAGAGGCCAAAGCCTTCTCTCCGACCGCTGGGTTTCAGGGGTTTTTGCTGCCTCTGACTATGGAGGCTCTCTTTACTCACCACTGCTAGTAGCCATTGATGGACCTATCTACCATGGATCTATCTAACCATTGTAGCTAAGTACTCTGGGCTAGAATAAACCTATTCTGAATGAAGATACTATGGAAATCAGCTCCCACAGTTTCCACAGTTGCTAGGCAACCACCCACATGCCATCTCCATTTCTTTCTTCTCTCTGCTAGCAACTGAAAGTGACGGAAAAAAAATTCTAGTATGATTTAAGAGTTTGATGGAGATATGAGCAAAGGGCACAGTTCAATCAAGTTAAACTTTATACTGTTTTGCTCCAAAGGTCATAGAGAGAAGAACAAATGTTGCAGTTCCTGTAGTGCTACGAAGTAATTCTAGTTATATCTGTGGCAGAATGTTGGCTTAGATGGAGACACCAGAATTTCTGTTCTTCTCAATATACTCTCTGAAGATGCTAAGGCCTATATTCTAGTAAGAACAGACTCTGGTTCGGCCCCAGAAGGCATTGCAGTCCAGCTCTGCCTGCGTCTCATGAACACCCTGTAACTAGCCAAACTGTACCCTCCACACTGTTTACATTCTTCAACAATAGAGTGTACCATCTCCAAGTGTAAACTGTTATAGATTAAAGACAGGCCTGGTGGTACCATCTATGTGTGATCTGTCCCAATAACCCATAGTTGTTTATAGCCTATGATACTGTTAGTGGGAAGAGTCTGCATACGGTTACTGGTATGACATTTTTTGTGACCCCCACCTTGGAAACACCTGGCAATGAAAGGGTATAAAAGGTGTTAATTTTAAGGGCTCGGAGTTGCCATTTCTGATGGTCAGTTGGGTCCTCCGTTTCGGCATTCAAGAGATCTCTTTATTATTGATAAATACGTGTACACTGTTTTGACATAACCAAATTGCTCAAAGCGCATCTTGGTACGTAGCTGAATAAAGCAGAACATAGTGCAAGCCTTTGTCTTTTACCCACTAGGCTGGTCTCTCATCAGTCCACATCCAGCCCAGGGACCAGGGATTCCCCCCCCCCCCCCAAAAAAAAAAACATACCCAACACTTGAATTTGACAGCCATCACTCAGGCAGTAAATAAAAAAAAAAAATCCCAAAACTTCTGCTTGTCATTCATTAGTGAAGTGGATCCCTTGAATACAACTCGTGAATCTTAGTTCCAAAACGCTCTTTCTGCTCTGATCACAAAGCATTTGATACAAACAGGTTAAAAAGATGCATTCAAGCAACACAATTGGACAGCACGCTCAGAGTTGAAAGCCACATTACAAATATATTTTAAGCTAAAGAGTTACAGGTAATATGCATACTCTGATGGGATGTAATTTCCATAATTCATATACAGAATATGCAGAATTTGTCAGATTCAATATTTTAATTCTGAAGATATTCCTTCTGAATAACTAAAAAATAATAACTAAAAAAAAATTAAGCCACAGCCCTTGAAAAGAATTATTCCTATGGTCTTGAAATGATGGAAGCTGAAATACTACAGAATCTTAAAATTCTCTTCAGTTTGGTACATATCACAATTCACAAACCCTTTTATTGCTGTCACAAGAGCTAGAAATGGGGAAAAAATAAAGCCAGTTATATCTGCCAATCTGCTCTATGGGATTTCTTTCCTCTTAAGTTTAGAAATGGGAGGAAACAACTATTCCTTTCCCTCCAACAAGCAGAAGGGCTCAGCTAATAACTCCTTCTGGGCCATTACTCCCAAGTGGTTAGGAAGAACTCTAAGAAACTCCTTAGGTTTCCACTGTATTTCTCTTCACTTACTAGCAGACAAAACTTTAGGAAATTGCCTGGAGTCCCCAGGGCCATATCTCAAATCTGCCCGATTATGGGTGAAACCAAGTTCCACTAGCCTTAGCTTCCACTGGGCCTTGTTTCATCTTCATTACCTTTGAAGAGGCTCCAAAAGATCTGTTTCCCTCTCCATTGAAGTAGGGCCTTAGAACAAAATTATGATCCTAACTTCTAAAACACTCCTGACATAAGGAAACATGAGGCACATAGAGGTGAATCTGTCCAGCCTCACAAAGGTAATCCAAGTGGCAAAAGACAATCTTTCCAATTATGTGAGACTTATCCTCATAGTATTTCAGCATTTTGCAATGAAGCTGTTGCTATATTGTGTTAATGAAAAGGGGATATCACAACCATCTTATGGGATTTGAATCCCAGCTTTGCAATCAGTCCAAATGATTTTAGGTCAGGATCACTGAGCCAAGGAAGAGAGGCTGCTTGGGGAATGACGGGGGAAGCTGATGCCTTGCACAGGGGGCAGCCACAATCTGACCTTGAAGCAGGTATTTCTTCACAGCAAATTTTTGCCAAGCTCCACTAGAGCTGGAAAAATTCTGGTTAAAACAGTGAGAGGCAATTAATTACTGATGTCTGGCAATGTCTGCCTTTAAGAACAGCAACCTCAAAAAAAAGCAGATAAGCACAAACACAGCAATGGTCGACTTCTTTAGCACAGGAGTGAGGGACGCAGGGGCAACCCCAAAGACTCCCAGACTAATGTGGATGTCATCCCAGCCTCTGGGCAGTTTGGCTAGGGAAGCGCAAGAAGTCAATGCTATGGAAAGAATGAAAGCTAAGGTTTAAACTAGTTGCTCAGACTTTTAACGAATCAGGTTGGACTTCCCAGCCCCGATTCATATTCCTCACAATCAAACAGGAGCTGCGGGGAGCTGCTTTTCAAAGAGCTGCAGGGCCTCAATTCTGCTCAGGGCCACAGCATGGGGGGAGAAGAGATTTCTGCCTTCCTCCCCATGCTTGTTTTTGGAGCTGAAATGGCCCTCAGGGAGAGCATTATTTGCTCCATTCTGGAGCTACACATGCACTGAATACTGCATATGCAGCTCTAGAATGTGACAAATGAAACACACACATACATGTTTCAGTTTGGGAAACAGCACACGGGAGAAGGCAGGAGCTCTCCTAACCCCAGGCAGTCCAAAGCAGAGTCCAGCCCCTGTGGCTCTTTAGAAAGCAGTTCCCTGCAACTCTGCTGCCAGTGCGGGGAACAGAATCTGGGTCCAGCGAACCCAGACCCAACTTGTTAAAAAGCTGCAACTCTCTGCCTAGCCTCTGACAACTTGAAGTCAGGGAGAACCTCATGCGCGCGCACACAGAGACACACTTCCTACTCACTGTGCATGGAAGTCTACCACCACTGGCTTCTGACTCTTCAAAACTCTGTCTTGGAAGTCATCCCCATCCTGGACATTAAAGGTGTCTCTGAAGACCTGAGTAGTGGAAAATGTCCTAGTGGCTGCAGCACGTGCAGCAGTGGTGGGCAAGGAACGACACAAGACGGTGTGGCATGACAAAGCAGACACCCTGGAGAGCAGTGAAGAAGGTGGGGATCGAAGCGGCACAGAGAGGTGCTTGAGAGGGACGGACTGGAACAGCCTCAGGAGGAGCTTCTGGGCCATCTGCAAAAAAAAAAAAAAATGGAGAACAACAAATGATCATGGGGGGGGAAAGGCAAAAGTGGGGCCACTTCCATCCCTCCACCCTGGTTTGTGCATTTCACTTCCAGTTTAGCCATTACTCGATGGGCAACTCGAATGATAAAGGGGTTGGAACACTTTCCCTATGAGGAAAGGTTAAGGCGCTTAGGGCTCTTTAGCTTGGAGAAACGACGACTGAGGGGTGACATGACTGAGGGTTATAAGATTATGCATGGGAAAGAGCAGGTAGAGAAAGAGGTACTTTTCTCCCTTTCTCACAATACAAGAACCCGTGGGCACTCCATGAAATTGCTGAGCAGTCGGGTTAGAACGGATAAAAGGAAGTACTTCTTCACCCAAAGAGTGATTAACACTTGGAATTCACTGCCGCAGGAAGTGGTGGCAGCTACAAGCATGGACGGCTTCAAAAGGGAATTAGATAGGCATATGGAGCAGAGGTCCATCAGTGGCTATTAGCCACAAGGTATAGATAGGGGCTCTGGGGCAAGCGATGCTCTGTCATCTTGGTGCTTGGGGGGGTCAACAGTGGGATGGCTTCTAATGTCCTGGCCCCACTGGTGGACCTCCTGATGGCACTGGTATTTCTGGCCACTGTGTGATACAGAGTGTTGGCCTGGATGGGCCTTTGGCCTGGATGGGCCTTTGGCCTGATCCAACATTGGCATCTCTTATGTTCTTATGTTCTTACTCTGCATCTTTCCCTTTTCCATTGGGCTAGGGCTCTCCATCCCCATTGTAACCCACTTTGCAATCCTGTTATGAGGTGCCCTTCACAGCCTTGGCAGAGATTTTACCATGTCCCACTGTAAGTTTATTCCTGCCCTCCAGTATTCCTGGCACTTCCTCCAATAGTCTGGGGTGCCAATAATATTATACTACAGGCCTTTGTCTAAGCCCCATACACAAACTGGACAGGCAGGCCCTGCCAAACGGGGTACAATCTGACCGACTTTGTGGGTTCCAACCAAACTCCTCGCTCTACTTTTTCTCAGCCTCGCTTTGGGTTGCCAGGTCCAAATATCAACAAGACGTTTGCCCTGCCCTCTGGAAACAGGAGGTTCTGAAGAGAGTGAAACTTGGGGTCAATGGCACACTATTCCAGACTCTCCGCTGCTGCTGCCTCTTCCCCACTTTACCCAGCCAAACTTCCAACCAGTGAGTCCTCGCTGCCCTACCCAATTCGGCCATTCCATCCGATACACCAACAAAGCAACTCTAAGCAGGCTTTCAGTGGATTTAGAAGGTTGTAATTCTGCTTAGGGTGGTACTTCTCATTCCTCAGTGACAGGGTTCCAGCAAGCAAACTGGAATACTTTGCTGTACAATGAATTACCTGGCAACCATAATAAAGATGTACCTCTGTTCTGATGATGCTATATCCTTCAAAAGAAATCAGATACATACAAATGATAGCATAACAACACTTGGTATATAGATAATAAATGTATTCAAAGGGGTCCACAGTAATCTGACTACAGTTTTGAAGAGCCAGTGCTGTATACTGTTCAGCATGCTTAAGTAGGATCGCTACTTGCCATGAAACTCACTGAGTGATCATAGTCTAGTTTTTTCCTCATTTCCCCCCAAGGGCTTTTTTTTGCAATTTCTGCAACAGAAAAGTTTTGAAATTTAAAAAAACTTCTGTGAATGATTTTTGTTTTTTGAATGAGTGAAACTCTTCATAAGGCAAGGGTTTTCTCATCTGAAATGCATAGCATGAAAAGTCTGACAGTGCAGTGGAAAGACTGGGAAATTTGGGGGAGCACTGAAAAAAATTCACATGCATTTTTTCCCTTTTAGAATGAGTGAGGTTTTTTATGGCAAGGTTTTATGTTTCTTCTCTGTTCAAAATGTGTAGCAAAAATATTTATATGACAACCTACTAGCATTATGTGATGGTGATTCTTATGTTTACTGTACACATATTCAATGTACATTCAAGAATACGTTTATTGTTTAAATGTTAAGTTTGGGCAACATTTAATATGCTATAATGTCTTTAATAATAATACATTGTTAAAGAGTTCAGTGATTTCCAATATTATAAATAACTTGATATCCAAATATTCTGGTAGTCCCAGATACTGTGACTGTATATGTTTCAGTACAAACGACAGAACTTCTCTTGCTTACTTCAGAATTTGTTTTCTGTCTTCAATTTTAATTTCTTCCTATTTCTCAAATGGCAAAAACTAAGACATATTTCTAAAGTGACATAGGGAACAGCAGCAGTCTAAGTACTGGATATATTTGCAATTTTTCTTACAGAATTTTAAGACGTTCATATTTCTAAATTCCATAGATATGACATAGTACAATTTTATATGCTAAGTCATAAACAATGCATTTTGTTATATCAGCAAAATAAATTTAGGTTTGATAGGAAAGTAATAATGCATATATTTCAGTTTCTTCAAAAATTGCCCCCAAAGGGTTCCCCCACCCACGGTTTCAAAATTTCCAGAAATTTTAGCTCTCTAAAACTAACCTACCTCACAAGGCTGTTGTTGAGGATAGAACAGAAGTGAAGTATGTATGCCATAATGAGCTCCTTGGAGGAAAGGCAGGGCAAAAATGTATAAAATAAATAAATAGCCCTGTAAGGCATGGCAAAAATGTACTAAATAAACCGACACCTGAAAGGTAATTTGGTGGCACCACAGTGTTAAGCAAACAAATGCCACTTCCATGGGATCTAGAAGCAAATCTCACTAAAAGCACTTTGAAAAGAGCCATTTCAGACTGAAGTGTTTTCATGAAGTTCTGAACAAACCTTTTTACATTTAAATGCCACTGTCATATTTCCATACAGGTAAGATTTGAAAATATTAAGATTCTTACAATTTCAAAGCTTAGTCTACACCGCTAACAAAATCATGAGACCAATTTTTTTAAGGAAGGCAAACAATATAGCATTATTCAAACAGGGGCAGCTGAACTTCAAACATTCTTTATGATGGTGGTGATGGAGGAAATGCAGTCTCACAGTTGACTTATGGCAACCCCATGGGGCTTTCAAGGCAAAGGACATTTCAGGGGTGGTCCGCCATTGCCTGCATCACAACTCTGGTGTTCCTTGGAGGTCTCCCATCCAAATGCTGGCCAGGGCCAACCCTACTTAGCTTCCAAGATCTGGGTAGACTGGGCTGTCCTGGAACCCCATCCCCACCCCAAAATAGCACATATCCAACAGTACCGATGGAAGGGTATTGTTCCCCAGCCACTTTTCCTTCTTAATACCTCTACACTTTTTCCATCCACGCTCTTTTGCCTTTAACCACTACTTGACAAGGGAAAAAATAAAAAATTAGACAGCAAGCAGGGTTAATAATTTTAATATTCTCTCCTTAATTTCTTAGAAATCACAAATATTTGTCAACAGTATTTATTATTGCTGTTAAAACATTATAAATATTATTTCCTGGTATAAAACTAAAGTAATAAGAAAAGTTTCGCGAGCTAAATTCCGGGGATAGGAACCTTGCCAGAAATTAGTTGGCAAGAATACTTCTAAGGCTGCAGCTTTTAAAAACTGCGTAGCAGCTGACTTTTGTTACTCAGTGATAGGAAAAGGCACTCTATATATGCTCAGAGTACCACAGCGCATACTCCCGAACACCACGGAGCCCAACTTCAAATTAAGCCCAGACTGGTTGCTCCGTAAACTTGCTCTCCTCCCCAGTGGAATGCTGCCGTCCTCGGCCAGCAGCCGCTCCTCCCGTTTTCGGCTGGACCGCCAAAGTTTCTCATTCACAAATAACCTCTACACACACACGCCACCCCCCGCGTTTACCGAGCCTCCCCCGCCAGCTCTCAGCCCCCCTGAGGGCGATCCGGCCGCGAGGCAAACAATCAAGAAAGGAGCGACCTCCCCCCCTCTCACCTTTCAGAACCCCTGAAGAGTAGCACGCGCAAGAGAATCAGAAGACTGAAGCAGCCTGAGCGCTGATTGGCTGGAGAAACGTATCTTCGTAAACACCGCCTTCGATGAATGGCGGCCGAGAGGAAGTCCTTGAGAACTCTGGGAGGTGATTGGCTAGGGAGGACGCCTTCTGGCCTGAGACAAACGGGAGCTTATTGGTGGGAAAAGAAGTAGTTCCCGAAGGTTGAGAACTTTTTTTCCTAGACTAAGTGCTGATTGGCTATTGAAGAAGTCTGCCTTTGCGACCAAATTTATATTCTCCAATAGCAAACCAGAGGCCTTTTCTGCTCTTGTCTCACGGTCCCGCCCCGCAGAAAGAGAGTCCCAATACATATATTAGGACGGGCACACGGTGGGTTCTATTTCATTCTTGTACCTTATAGTTGCTTCTGCCTGTTTGGTTCAAGCTAGATCGATCCGATCTCATCAGATCTGGTGAAGCCAAGCAAGGTCGGCCCTGGTTAGTAATTGGATGGGAGACCACCAAGGAATCCTAGGGTCGCTATGCAGAGGCCGTCAATGGCAAATCTCCTGTGAATGTCTTTTGCCTCGAAAGCTTTAAACTCTACGGGGTCGCCGTAAGTCGGCTGCAACTGTACTTTCTACCACCACTATCTCATGGTCGATGAGGAGGGCCCATGATATGAATTGGCTCATTCATGTAGTTTAATTATTCCTTTGCGTTAGCAGTTAGAGTAGTGTGTGTGTTTGTCGTCAAGTGGCTTCTGATTTAGGGCGATCCTAAGAATTAATGACCAAATCCATCTTAATCGTTGACAATCTTGCTCGAGTCTTGCAAAATTCGCCTCATGTTGGGTCTTCCTCTTTTCCTGCCACCTTCAGCATTTCCTAGACTCTTGCCTTCTCATAATGTGATCAAAGTAGTCTCAGTTGAGTCATTTTAGCTTCTAGGGAGAGTTCCGTTTTAATTCAATCTAGAACCCACTTGTCTTTTTTGTTATAGTAGTAGTACTGGTGAATATATGTACTTCTGTACATTTATGTTTACAGGTGCTGGGAATTCTAGTACACTTTTGTGAATAGTATAAAGCCTGCTTGTGGAAGTTATTCTAAATGAATATGGAGAACAAAGGGATGAGCTTGTCACAAACAGTTTCTAGTGCAAATAAAATTGGGGGGGGGGGGGGGGAGAACGGTGTTGCCAGAGCTCCTAGATTGTTAAATCTTACATAACTCTTCAGAAGTTCTTCATTGGGGGAATTTTAGAGTTGAACCCGAACCTAATTTAAGAGTCTCCTTCCTTACTCTGGGGCTAGAGTTGGTACCTTCAGGTGGGGCCTGGAAATCTCCTGCCAGTACAACTGATGTCCAGTTCAGATGACAGATCAGTTCCCCTGGAGAAAATGGCTGCTGCACTGCTGAGGTCCCTGCACCCCCTGGGTTCTACCTGGAAATCTCCAAGAATTTCCCAACCAAGGAGTGTTCCTGCTGTTGGTAGTTTGGTTCTGATTACACTAAAGTGATATGATTGAGGGAACAGTAAAGCTCTTCAATGATTGTAGGGATTTCCTTAATGGGTTATAATTTTCAGGAAAAGATTGCGAAGAGATGTACTCTTCAGATGAAAGGGGTGGCTTCCACATGGGGATGGGGTTTTGTGGTTTCCACCTTACTGGTGTGGCTGCAGCTAAAGTGCAGCAGCAGTAGCAGCAGCAGGGCCTCTACATGGCAGGTTTCCAGGCAGCTTCTCTGCCCAATCATGCAGAAGCAGCCAGTCCTCCTCCCCTGGGATGCCAGGATTTTTGCAGTTTAAAAAAGGCACTAGTGTTTAAACAATGTGGGGCCAAGACATCTAACAGTGCCATCCTAAGCAGAGTTACACCGTACTGAGCCCACAATGGACTTAGAAGCATGTAACTCTACTCAGGATGGCACTACAGAATACCAACTGATTCTGTACAAACTTTCCCACCTATGAAGATAATCTTCAGAGACCTTATGGGATTCTGCCATCCAAAGTGAGGTGGATGGCCACTGAAGATGGGGCCTTCTTGGCTATGGCACTTCCTCTTTGGAACTGGCTCCTTGTAGCCATTCGCCATGCTTTAGACATTACTTTAAAAACATTTGTGCTCTCCCAGGTATTTGTGGTTTGACGTTGAAGTCAGTTGCCATTTTCATTGTGTTAATCTGCTATATATTTGTCCTGACTTATTTTCTCTCTTTGTACCTTGTCCTCTCCTATGTTTTTGGTTTTACTCCTCTTGATTTTTATACTGTTTTTTCTTCCCTGTTGCTGTTTATGCTGCTGTTTATTTGTGGTTTTATTCTTATATGGATTTTGTTTTGATATTTGTAAGCCGCCTTGTGAATTTCTTAGTGGGGGGAGGATACAAAATCCTGGAACTCTCCACTCTACTTTGTTTTTTCAGTGCATTACTGCAGGGCCACTAGGGAGAAAGGACTGCTTTTATGGCCTTTACAAAGCCACAGAAGGTGCCTCTACATTCAGAGGCAGGCAGCATTATTTCTCCAGCTCTCTTCTACATCCACAGGCCCTTGTTTGACATTTGATGCTCATTTAAAAAGCAAAACAGAACTAGATTTCTAGACCACACAACCCTACAGATGTAAGACTGCAAAGCCTGTGCTTTTAAGCTACTCACTATTTTAAAAACCACACATATTTCAATGTCTTTTAAAGATATTATGGCTGAAGTCACAAGTCTGGTTATTGGACAACAGCATAGGCACAGATAAAAGTGACTGGAGAGAGGATTTTAAATCATGCTCAAAGTATACGTTACTGATTTGCACATTGCATATACATCAGCCACAACCTTATGGCAAAATAAATGCAGTACACCAGCTCCTGGGCTTGGACACGTTTTAAAAAGTTCATTCCAAGAATACAACCATACACATGACACATTTACAATACAACGGCATTACCAGTTCCCCGCTCGATTGATGACGGATAGTTAAAAATAATACTGTTCAGGAAAAAAAACCAGAGCATTAAAAACCAAAGAGGCGTCTGGCAACTGCCCTGGCTACTACAGAGCCGTGAAGCCCTCTGCAAATGTCTGAAAGTGACAGGCACTGAGGATAAAGCAGCAGAATGCTCGATCCTGGGGGGGGGTGGCGGGGGGGGGGGGGGGGTTACCTGCAGAACAGGACAGTGCTTTTAAAAAAACTTTTAAGAAGATCATTAAAGGCAACATGTACCTTGTCAATTTACAGCACTGGGTTCTTTGGGGCATTTATGGTGATTGGAAGAAGAGTGATTGCCAGCAGAAAGGCTGCCCTAGGCAAGGAATTCAAATCTACCTGCCTGATAGATCTTTTAAGATCTTTAAACATTCCAGTTTGACCAAGGCAGCCCCAAAGTGTCAAGGACACAGGAAGTATTAGCTGTAGGCTCCTTCTGAGGATTCTGCTTTGCACAGGTTTCTTGGCTCACGTAAACCCCAGCTGCTGCTTTGAATAAACACATGAAGCTCCCTTTTACCATCAGATCTTTGTTCCATTTAACCAACACTGTCTACTCTGAACAGCAGGGCCTTGAGATCTTTTACCTGCTGATGCTGGGGATCCACCCTGGGATCTTCTGCATGCAAAGAAGGTGCTCTCTGGGCTCTCAGATGGCCACAGAGACGGTCTCCACCTGTCAACCCATGCCAGCAGCCCAGAGGGACTCTAACTTGCAGCAGCACTTTTACCAGTGTACTGTCAACACCACAGACTCTTTTCAGCTTCACTTTCAAAAGTAAGTGGCAGATGAGATTGGAGGATTAGTCAGTTACCATACAGGCCCCGGTCATTTGCCGCGCTAAAGATACGGATGATAGGCGGATTTTCCGGGCGCGATCACACCGCAACATCTGGGAAGCGTAGTGCTCCCGTGGCTATCCCATGGCTTCCCGCAGAAGATGCGGACTAAAAAACTATAGTACTTACAAGGTACTGGTTTCCGGACACCGCGGGGCAAGGGCGGGTGTCTGATCACGTTTCCGGTGGAATCCCATGGCATCTGGTGCCCGCCGATGTTTCGTCGCAAACACGGGTTTTTTTTAACCCCCAAGTCTCCGCAGGATGCGCAAAAGTGCCCAACGGCGCATGCGCACAAACTTCTGTAAAAAACCCACCAGTTTGCCATGGAAGCGGCGCCTAGCGATTGCTGCTGTGATCGTGCCGCACCGCTTCTTTGCTGCGCTGCAGGATAGCCGTGTGATCAGCACCTCACCCTCTAACCACGGGACCTCCACGGGACGTGTGATTGGGTGGCCGCGCGTTATTTTGCTCCTGGGCAAACAGCCACGCTTCCCCCCCGCATTTTCCGGCCCGTGTTACTGGGACCACAGATGAGCAAGGGAGCTAAAACAGCATTAGGGCATCAGCTGCTGGAAAGGTGTCACCAAGGAAGCACAAGTGCAGAGATTACAGAGGATTTAAAGTCCCCTTCTACCTCTTATAAGCTAATAGGAAGATCAGAGACAAGAACTTGAACTCCTTCCAATCTTCTTCTCCTGACTTGCAGGAAATGTGAGAAGGGTGTGCAATAAAGTGCGGATAGCTTCCCTATCTAATCTACAAAAAAGGGATAGTTAAAAAAAATACAATAGGAATAATAGGATTACATCTTGTCTCAACAGAACTAAGGAAGCTTTCTAAAAGGGGGATAGTGCAAAGAGAAGATGTTTTGTAAGGGTACAGGGCCCTCCTGAGAATGGCAAGCTGGCACACAGGAATACCACTTCCACAGGACTAATGCCTAAGGAGGTGGGTGCGATTGGGCCACACAGCACAACAGGGACCAGTGTTCCCTCTAAGCTGAGTTAGTGTGAGCGAGCTCACAGTTTTTTAGCCTCCTGCTCACACATTTTTGCCTTCACTCAGGGAGGATGGCTCCAGAACAAACTAATTGATGCAGGAGCCAAATTGCTCGCTCACAACTTTAATGCCAGCAGCTCACAAAGTAGAATTTTTGCTCACAAGACTCCACAGCTTAGAGGAAACATTGACAGGGACCCAGGCTTACAGTGCCTTGAGAGACACTGGTCCCTCACGGAGGCAGCGGCTCATATTTCCCAGCTTGGGAAGTTCCCAGCACTTTCGCCTCTCGCCCAGCCACTTCCACCACGTTGCTTATACATTCATGCACATACCACTTTGCAAGTATATGCAAGAACACAATACAGACAGCATCCATAAACGACACATCCCTTGCAGATAACCACAAAACATGCGATCAAGAATAATACTCCCGGGAAAGTCATTTGGGTATCACTTTTTCCTCCCTTGTGTAATACACCAGAGATTGGCTCATATAACAGAAATGCAACACCATCAGCAGGCGGTGAATGGGAGCAAAGGAGTGCCTCGGCATTACCCACTGACTGCTTTTGTTAATTCCCACGCAAGACCCACGCAAACCTTTGGCAAGTCACGGTCCCCATGAAGGAGTAGGTAGGGACGCATCTGTGCACGATGGAACTTGGAGCTCCTCTGCAGATCTTTGTCACAGTACCAAGACCACAGTTCCTTGTGGATTTTGACCAAGGAGTGCTAAAGTTCATCCTTGGTGCTCATAAGATGCTGCTGCAGGTGATGGTTTGGCATCATGCGATCTTCCAACAGGTGGTCATGCAACAGTGCATTGCCCTCTTCTGGCTCTTTTAGAAAGTCCACAGCAGCATAGTCCTCCAGCAATCCGGCTTCTACGGCATGCTGTCTAAGTCTCTTGTTACCCATCAGCCCTTGTCTTCTCATGTATCCCTGCTGACAGAAGACTGGCAACTTCTGGCGAGTCAGTGCAAAGAGGAAACAGGACTCTATAGAAGAGGGGGGCAAACGTTACAATCTTTGTAAATTTCTTAAATGAAGCATTTTCCAGAGTACACAGGGAACCAAAAGGATTAACAGCAGTAACATTCTCTCAGTAACCCAGTGGCATGGCCTGGGTCCGACCTACCTGAGGGACCGCCTTTCCCCGTATATACCCCCAAGAGCACTTCGGTCAGGGACCCAGAGCCGCTTAGTGGTTCCGGGTCCCAGAGAGGCACGATATGCTGCAACGAGGGCTAGGTCCTTCTCAGTGGCGGCCCCTACCTGGTGGAATGAGCTCCCGGAGGAGATCAGGGCCCTGCAGGATCTTATGCAGTTCCGCAGGGCCTGCAAGACGGAGCTCTTCCACCAGGCTTTTATGTAGGGGCCGCCGCTCCCACCACCACCAACGGTGGAAATACCATCAAGTAGGAGCGCCCCTGATAGCCCGGCGACGAGGCGCACTATGTGAATTATATGGCAGCAAGATCAGCTGATAAACTTGGACAAATATCGCCGGAACAACTATTATAATATTATCAACAGGGAGTATTCCCTGTAGGTACCAACTGCGGACCATCTTGGAATTTATAGTATTTATAGTATTTTATTATTATTAATGGTATGTTATTATTGCGATTGTGATTTTACTGTTTTTATTGTATTTTATGTATGGCTTAGGCCTCTGTAAGCCGCCCTGAGCCCGCTTGCGGGGTAGGGCGGGGTAGAAATACTTGAATAAAATAAAAATAATAAATAAAAAATAATCTAGCTGGTTTATAAGGAAAAAGATTGAAGATTCCTCAGTTATGATATGTAACTGGGGAGGGGCTGTGGCTCATTCATCAAGCACGTGCTTTGCAGGCAGAGTGTCCCAGTGGGCCACTGGCAGCCAGGAGGAGGCTGATCCAAGTTAAGCCTGGGATGATACAACAGCAAATCCTGCAGGGGCCCACTGATCTAGACCCGGTCTTGACAATGGGGGAAGGATCGTTGTTTAGTGGTAGAGCATCTGCTTGGCATGCAGAAGGTCCCAGGTTCAACCCCCAGCATCTCCACTAAGGGTTGGGTTGTAGGGGATGTGAAGAACCTCCAGCGAGACCCTGGAAAGTTGCTGCCAGTCTGAGTAGACAATACTGACTTTGATGGACCGGTGGTCTGATTCCGTGTAAGGCAGCTTCATGTGTTCTTCACTTGGCTCAACTTGCTCTGAGGCTGTTTTAACAGCACAGTCTAGTTCTGGGTCCCAGATTCAATCCTTGGCTTTTCCAGTTAATGTATTTGGAAGGAGGTGACCTGAAGGGCTTCTACCTGTAACTGTAAAGAACTGCGGCCAGCACAAGCTCTTTGTCCCTCTCTAGGTGCAGCATTAGCAAAATACAATGTGCATTCTAAGCGTCTGTGTGGTATGTATGTTTCTTTCTCTGTATATGTAAATACCCACCTCCCCGTTGCAGAACTTGTTTTTTCTTAAATGCAGAATTTAGATAATCCTGGTTCAGAATACTGACGTTTTAAGCACAGATTATACAAAACACTTGTAGTGAATCCCCAGTTCTGATACTGCAAAAGCTTTCATATCCAGTTCAGTCATATTTCTGCACAGTGCAACCCTTCTGCTCTGAAGTCCACAGTGGTCTCCATTGCAACACTAGGCTCCACCTAGTGGGGGGTGGAGAACAGGTGCAACTTTGGGAGTCCGTCACCTGCCTGGGGTTTGAAATCAATACAAAACGATGTCTCTCTGATGTGTTTGGGTCTAGACCCCTGTATGCCTGTTCATTCTAGCAGTCATAGTAATGATAAGATCACTAACACTCACAAGGCAAAGGTTCCATAACTGTTAATTGCCTTTGTTGGATTGCTTTTGTTCCATTGCTCCTAGGCCTCTGTGTTCTCATCCCACTGTCTTCCCTTCAGCCAGGTGGCACATGGAGATCTGTTTGGTGTAGTGGTTAAGTGCGTGGACTCTAATCTGGGTCTGATTCCCCACTCCTCCACTTGTACCTGCTGGATGACCTTGGGCAAGCCATAGTTCTGGCACAGCTGTTCTTGAAAAAGGGCAGTTTCTGTCAGAGCTCTCTCAGCCCCACCTACCTCACAGGGTGTCTGTTGTGGGGAGGGGAAGGGAAAGGAGTTTGTAAGCCGCTCTGAGACACCTTTGGGTAGTGAAGGGTGGGGTATAAATCCAATCTCTTTTCTTCTTCTGTTACAATTGCTCTCCAGATGACCAAGACTAGTTTTCCTGGAGAAAATGACTGCTTTGAAGAGTGGGCTCTATGGCATTATATCCTGCTGAGGTCCCCCCCCTCTCCAAACCCCCCCTTTCCCAGGCTCCACCCCCAAAATCTCCAGGTATTTTTCAACCCAGGGCTCGCAACCCTACCCCAGCCCCATCTAATTTACCTGCATAGAACCTGCGCAGGTCGATTCCCAGGCAGTTCTCCAAGAAGCGTCTCAGAGGGAGGATGTGGGCATTCTGAGCAGTCCAGTCGGTCAGGAAGTCCTCCACAATGTGATGGATGGCATCTGGGCGGGGCAAGGGCCAGTCTGGCGGACAAAGCCTCACTTCACGCTCTGTTGTGAGACAAGTCAGAGTAACCAGAGACTAAATAGATCTACGGCAAAAGCCAAATGGAGGAAGCAGAAGGGGCCAAAAGGAAAGGCAGAAAATTAGGATTTCCTTGCCTAGGTACAGTCGTCTAAAAGAGAGTGTCCCTTCTTCCAGCCTGTTCACCAGGTTGTGTTTGGGGCTTTTTTTGGTGGAAAACTCTTTTCCCCCAAGACTCAACCTACAATATATTTCTTGCTCTGAAAATGAAAGTCTTTTAGCAACCACATCTCATGCAATTTCGAGCGCTCCGTGGAATGTGTAAAAGGGAGGGGCCACCGCTTAAACGCTGGCATGCAAAAGGTTCCAAATTCCATCCACGGTATCTCAAGTTAAAGGATCAGATAAGTAGGTAGATGGAAAAGATGCCTGTCGGAGACTGTGGAAGACAGCTGCAATCCAGAGCAGACAGTTCTGAGCTTTAGGGATCAATGGTCTGACTTGCTGCAAAGCCACCATGTGTTAATATGGCTGTATGGTTGTGTGTGGACTAGTGTCAGCGGTATAAACGGTGGAAAAAGTAGCCCAACTTGCATCCCCTCATGTCTGTCTTATTTTGTGAACATTAAAAAAAAATTCTGAGCAATCCTCAGTTGTACCATTCAAGTACCTGAACATTTGTGCAGCTTTTAAAGCAAACAAAAGAAGGAAACATGAGAAAGACTTCCTTCCTTTGAAGCAATAATGCACCCTTTTTCTTGCTTTTAATTTCCCCCCCTTTTATTTCATACCTCAATCTATATGCATTTTAAAATTGCTCTGGTTTCTCTTCAGAACGCATAAATCTTTTGCCTTTTAATAACACACCATTTTGAGAAACTTGAAACCACTACTTTTTAAAAAAGTTATTTGAAGGCTATGTGCTTCCCCTCTCAAGCACTGGAACACATGACCCCCCCACACCTTTCCCCCTTAACGTAGTGAATGACCTATTCCCCATCTCCAGAACACCTTGAAACACAGTGGATAGTTTACCACCACCAACCTAAGCAGAAGTACACCCTTCTAAGTCCACTGAAGGAAATAGGGTTCAATGTATAACCCTCCTTTGAAGGGCACCACAGCTCCCCATAGATCATTTGGGAACTATCAGTTGGTCTTATAGACAAACCTCGATTTGTTTGTACCAAGCCAGGAACGCCTCTGTCTCATGAGCTCCCTCCCTCCTCTCCTTGCAGGCAGCTGGGTAAATGAATGCTTCCTGGTTCTATTTAACTGAAGTTCATCATCCATTCTGAATCATGTAGAACAGGGTGGTTCTGATTTAAAATCCTGATTTGAAGGCAAGAGAACAAACTGCAATTTGTTGTTTCGCTTAACATGAATGTCATGACAAAATGTATAGAACCAGAAATCTTCAAATTTTCTAGCCTCATGCAAATTTAGGAAGGAGGCAGGAAGTGTATGAGCCAGAGGGCTTCCTCGTTTGTCGAGCTACCATGCCAGTCAGGACTAGTAAAGCACTCTCATCAGGGAGAGGAATATTGGGAGGGACATCTTTTGCTTCCTGATGGAGCCTGGGCACAGCCAGAGCCGAAGGGTAAGAGTCAAAAGATCTCTTGCTCTTTTGGATTTTATATGGTGGCTTTTCATGAACCAGCCACTGCATCCAGGACTGGTCCTGGATGTCATTTGTTTTGTATGTTGGTTTATTTATGTATTTTAAAAAAACTATTAGCTGCTTTGGGTCCCTTCATGGGAAAAAGTGGGACATAAAATTTTAAAGCCAGTATAAAGCTTTATTTCTTCATCAGAAAAGGGCTTAAGTTCCCAGCTAAATAAATGTTCTTACCCCCGGCTACTTTCCTCAAATGGCATGCTGATTTGCCTCTATGTCCCTCTTTCCTCCAAACACTAAGTTAAAGCTTGATCCGTGCATCTTCCAGGAGTGGCATAAGACCTTTTTATTCTAACTGCTTTTTCTGGCCAGGGACAGAGAGGGAGATGGTACAATAATTTTGCCTTAAGTCCTTGGGAGAAGGCAGACAAGAAGTCGTTTAAATAAATACAGGCTTGGCAAAACCTGTTTCCAGATGAGACAGTCTCTTCTTGTTCATCACCTATGGATTCCAGAACCCCTAGAACAGAGGTGTCAAACTCATTAGTTACAAGGGCCAGATCTGACATAAATGTCACTTTGTCGGGCGGGCCACGTGTGCCATAAAATGTAATGCCGGGTACCGGAGATAGAAACTGTATAAAGGACAGCAGCTGGTAAGCTCTGCATTGATGTATCCTCACTGCAAGGCCCCATGGGCTGGGAGAGGGGTGCAGAGGAAAACACACATAGGCTGACTGGAGAAGCAGCAGTGCAGTGCTTGTACAGATGCTCCCACAATGCTTGACTGCTCCAGATGAGGCTGTTCTGCCGTGCTGAAGCCACAATGCAGTGGCGCCGCCCACTCCCCTCCAGCACTCCCTCCCTTGCATCAGTTGCTCACGGGCCGCATAAGTGCCCTGGACAAGCCAGATCTGGCCCCCGGGCCTTATGTTTGACACCCCTGCCCTAGAAGATTCAGTCGAAACAACTGAGCAAACAGGGTTGCCAACCTGAAGGTGGCATCTGGAGAGCTCCCGCTATTACAATTGATCTCCAGACTACAGAGATTAGTTCCCCTGGGAGAAAACGGCTGCTTTGGAGGGTGGACTCTGTGGCATTGTACCCAGCTGAGGTCCCTCCCCCCTCAAACCCCCCCCTCCGCAGGCTCCAGCCACAAAATCTCCAGGTATTTCCCAACCCAGAGCTGGCAACTCTGATTACAAACAAGAGTCAATCAAACACAAAATCAAATAGGAAATGAGAAAAAGGGTGAGCTAATTCCTTCCTTCACTTTCTTCAGTCCCTCTCAGCAGAAGCTATAATAGGCCTCCTATTTGAAATTACCTGCTCCCAATCCCTATTTCCTGTCCACAAGGCATTGAGAAGTGGGAGAAAAAAAATTACCTCCAAATAGTGACACCCTAGGAATTTCACCTAGTCCCTATGGTAGAGACCATAGAAACTGGGGAGGTGGCCTAAAGTGTCACCTGGAGGTCACATCGCATTGTCCCCACATTCCATTGTCCACAAGCACCACCATCAAAATCCCCAAGGATTTGCTGAGGCACTGTCAGGAACCCTGAGCTATAGGTATGATGGAAATGACACACCACTGCTTGCCACACTGAACTCTAAACTACTATCAGCTTCAGCAGATCACCAGTGTAATCCTTTGCGGCGTTACTCCAGTCAAAGGGAATGGCCTCAGACTGGAGTAACACTGCACAGGGTAGCACCACAAAGGCCACACCCTTTCTTTATATACATTGAGGACGACATCCCTGAGGGACCAAAGTGTCCTCACTAGAAAAACTCCAAGGTTCTAACATTTCTGACCATCCCATATTATGAAAAGCTGCAATTGGTGGGAGGAAGAGGAGGAAAGAATCACTGCACTTACCAGTGGGGAGTCGTTTGTAGTAATAAATGACAGGGTGCAAGAAATTAGACTGCCAGGCATGCTGTGCTTCACCCACTGCCCGATTATAATAGAAGACATCCTTGTCGGGGCCAGAAAAGTTCCTCCCATACTCCATCACGATGACAAAAAGCCCATTCTGAACTTTCCTTCCTGTGCGCCATTCGAGGTCTTGCAGGACTCCGACCGGAAATTCTTCCAGATACTCAAATTCAGTGGCATTCCTAGACACAACCATCACGTTAGCTGGACACTGGTCAAGGGTACAGTTTTTGTAGGTGTACAGATTATCCTGCAGAAACAAGAAAGCGGCACTAATCCGCAGGGGAGGAAAAGACTGGAAGAAAGTATCCGAAAGCTACTGCTCTATTTCAGGGGGGAAAAAAACCACAAAGGGAGATCACCTGTATCTCAGGACTGTATGATGTCACCACATTGTACCTCCATATCCCTTCCTCCATGGCAGCCAATGACACAGAGTAGGGATGAAGACTATAAACCAGCAGGCAAGGCCTGGTCCTTCTACCCTGTCATACAGTGCCTACAGGTACATCATCTTCATTACTATTATTATTTATTGCTACATATTTTTTTAAAAAACTCTGCCAGAGATTTATGAAGTCTAAGAATGGGTACAACTGTATCACAAAGGTGGCCATGGTCACCCTGGGAGTGGAAGACATACCGCCTCCTGGGGGCGCTTCCTGCCAATGCTCATCAGCATCCTGATGTGCTGGTGTCTCTTCCAGTGTGTGGTCAGAAATTAAACCATCATGTCATCATAGAGTTAACCCACAGAGTTCAGCCTGGATGCTAGAGATTCACTGGTGATGTGATGATGTCATTACATCTCCAGTGAGGACCCCCCTCAACAGTGAGTCTCCTGCAGGGTTGCCAGCTTTGTGCTGGCAGCCCTATGTATCACAAAGCACAGAACCCAGCTCTCATGCAGTTCCCACCAAATCTTTCAAATCTTAAGCTGAAAAGAGAGAGAAAAAACACCACAAGTTTTTCATTTGTCTGAACATCTGAAAACCCACAGCCAGGAATGCTTGGGGTCTGTGTGATACAGCTACATTTTTAAAAATTATTTTATTGATCTTGTTTTTTCATTGCAAGTTTTTTCATTGCAAGTAAAACAGCTTCCCCTGGCAGTGTGTAGTGGCTAGACAAGGATCCAGAAGACCCAGGTTCAAATTCCCACCCTGGCATGAAGCACACTGGGTGATACAGTTGCCAGCCTCCAGGTGGGACCTGGAGATCCCCTGGAATTACAGCTCATATCCACACTGCAGAGATCAGTTCCCTTGGAGAAAATGGCCGCTTTGGAGGGTGGACTTCAAAAGGGAATTAGATAAGCATGGACGGCTTCAAAAGGGAATTAGATAAGCATATGGAGCAGAGGTCCATCAGTGGCTATTAGCCACAAGGTATAGATGGGGACTCTGGGGCAAGTGATGCTCTGTCATCTTGGTGCTTGGGGGGGGGTCAACAGTGGGAGGGCTTCTAATGTCCTGGCCCCATTGGTGGACCTCCTGATGGCACCTGGTATTTTTGGCCACTGTGTGACAGAGTGTTAGACTGGATGGGCCTTTGGCCTGATCCAACATTGGCGTCTCTTATGTTCTTATGACTCTATGGCATTGTGCCCCACTGAGGTGCCTGTCCCCCCAGGCTCCATTCCTAAGTCTCCAGGAGTATTCCAGTCTGGATCAGGCAACCCTACCCCGCATTCCCTGCTCGTGGCCAGAGGGGACCTGGCAAACCTACAGGGTGACCTTAGGCCAGTCACTCACTCTTAGTCTAACTTACCTCACAGTAGTGTTGGGAGGATAAAATGGAGGAGGAGAGAATGGTGTACATTACCCTGAGCTCCCTGAAAGAGGGGTGGGATACAAGTGTGCTAAATAAATAAAACAAATACATACTGGCCTCTTCTCTTAGGTACACAAACACACAACTCAACTCACTAGAAATGACTACGTATGGGGGCTAGTGTTGACGAGTCACTCACCAGGGGAAGCATATCCTTTATGAACAACATAATATGAAAATCATTCCACAATACCTGACAAACACTCAACTTGATTCCAGATCTTCAAAAACAGTGTATTCAGATCATGATGTCCCGGCCAATACCCCCAACTTCACCAATTTATTCCAGTGGCAGATTCTGAACTGAATTTCTGGACCATAGTATTGTGTTTCGATAATGCAGAATTCTAAGTTCCCAGCCTTAACTGCAAAGCTACTGACATTTTTTCTCCCGTGCTAATACAACACTGACATTTACTTGCTGGGCTAATTTTATCCCCACTGGGCCACTAAATGGCTCTGAAAAGGTAATGATTTCTAGTGATGAATTTTGACTTGATAGAAGACTTTGATGGGGAGAAAAGTCATTCTCTTGCTGAAGTATAAAACAAGGCCAAGGCAAAAGTTGTATCATTTCCCATCAATCCTTTTTCATTTCAAAGCCATGGAAGTCCCCGAGCAGCAAGACACTCCCGTTGCCCCAACTCACAGGGGAGGAAGGCACTAGAGGCCTAGTACTCACTCTTTCAGCAGAATGATGTCTGCCAGAACCGTGAACATTTGGTACAGCCCGGATGCCTCATTCACTCGCTTGACAATGGAGTTGGTTAGCTGAATAATGGGGTAGGTGGAGGACGGCCATGGGACACCATGGTGGCGGACTTCTAATAAACGATGGACGACACGAGCTGTGTGGTGTGGAAGGAAAGAAAGGTGTGTGCTATTTTTTTAAAAAAGTGCTAAGGGTTGTGGGTTCAGAAATCTAAACCTTGCAGTAATGCCACCGACAGTGAATCCTAAGCAGAGTTACATCCTTCTAAGCCCAATGATGTCAATGGGTTTTGAAGGGTATAATACGCAAAGCAGCCGTTAGAAGAAGTAATGGATGCCAGTCAAACAAGCAGATTTCTGACCCAGCTTTACCTAGGGTTGCCAATTCCAGCTTGGGAAATTCCTAGGGATTTGGGGGCACTGCACGTGGAGGGATTTCAGCAGAAACGTGATGTCATTCTAAGACTTCCATTTCTCCTCAATGCTATGGTATGCTGTAGAGTGAGTCTGCTCTACAAAACTGCCATTTCCTCCAGAGCAGTTGCTCTCTGTAGCCTAGAGATCAGTTGTAATCAATGTTCCCTCTAAGCTGTGGAGTCTTGTGAGCAAAAATTCTACTTTCTGAGCTACTGGCATTAAAGTTGTGAGCAAGCAATTTGGCTACTGCATAAATTAGTTTCCTCTGGAGCTTCCTTCCTGAGCTAAGACAAAAATATGTGAGCTGGAGGCTAAAATCCTGTGAGCTAACTCACACTAACTCAGCTTAGAGGGAACAGTGGAGGCTGGTAACCATGGTTTCACCCCACAGCAATGAGAAGGGGAGGGTGTGTGTGGCGTTACTGCTGTATTGCTGCACAAGAGATCTTAAAGTGACAGGTACAGACAGAGAGTCTGCAGCCAACAGCCTAGCAACACAGGAGCTCTGTAATACTGCTGGGTAAAATAAGAGTTTAACAATGAAATCCTACGAACACTTTCTTGGGAGGAAGCCCCACTAAATAGCCCTAAATAAGATGAGGACTAGACCTGTTTAGGATTGCTCCCTAAGTGTGGATTGCCTGCCAATGGGGAAAGTACCCCAACAGCTAAGCCACTGCCTGCTGTCTCCCCTTCCAGGAAGAGAACAGAGGCTCTCTTGCTACTCATCTGCCTGTTCATTTCAATACATGCTGTCTGCTAACATTTCCCTGACCAAAGCAAGGAAGCTGTAATACAAGACCCAGCCAAGAGAAGATGGAAACCAGGCATGTTAGAAACACCTTCCCCATTTCATTTTGCTTGCTCATTTAATGTTTATTCCAGTGGTTCACAGCAGATATAAATCACAATGCATTTTTGAACAAGATTACTCTTTAATCCAAACAACACACAAATAACAGCGTTCCGTGCGCCTCGGTGTTTAGTCATGCCAGCTACATGACCACGGAAAAGTCTTAGGACGGCGCTGGCTCTTCGGCTTGGAAAAAGAGATGAGTACCGCCCCCTAGGGTCAGATTCGACTGGCTTTCGAGCAAGGGAAACCTTTACCTTTAATAGAAAACAGATTTTTTTTCCTACTAAAATGTTAATATAAAAACCTTTTAACAGCACCACATTTCAAAGCCTCTGAGAGCAAAAAATAAAAAGAATAGCAGAACATTCACTTCTTTTATATCCAACCACAATGTTGCATTATCTATACCTTAATCGGATAAAGCATGGCTGTAAATGCAGGGACGCATCTCTGTGTTGGAATTAAATAAGATTTAGGATAGTTATGACACTATTCCATGGTTTCAGCACTTTCAATTAAGGAATTACATTGCAAGGCGTATGGGGGCTTACGACAAAATTTGAAATAACTTTTATGGGCAATAAATCAGCAACACTGCAGTCCTTAGCGGAGTCACCCTCTTCCAAGCTCACTGACTGCAATTGACTTAGAAAGGTGTAACTCTGCTTAGAATGGCCATCCAAGAGGAATGTTATCGAAGATATATTCTTTCTTAATGTGTTTAAGAAAGGAGGTTGGGAAATGACTAACTCTTTACTACAAAGCCCAACATGATTTCCTTATACTAAAGGAAATCATTATGAGGCTAATTTCAACTGGAATCTGATATTCAATATCAGAAAGTGTATACATTAAGAAAAAATTAAATTTATTTTGCATTGTTATTTAAAGGAGAAATGTTGGTGTTGTGGATTGCCGACAGCTGCATTTACTGAGGCAGGATAGATGTGGCTGCAGATAAATGCATTAAAAATGTTTATACAATTAAAGCTAATGAAAGGGGAGTTTGTTGCTGTTTTGTTTGTTTGTTTTCAAAAAGGCAGACAAATTCTAGCAACTTCCAGAAAACAAAACTGATGGGTATGACCTGGAAAATTGCAAGAGTAGCAAAATCAACAGAAGTTGTACTTCCTGTAATGTTATTTGTGTTAACTGTCTTGCAGTTGCAGCTGTTACAACACTTTGGAAAGAACATGCATTTCATAGTTCATTTAACTCACTGAGACACACAGTAAAGGTTGAAAACAAACCAGGCCTTTTCAGTACCAGCCTTTGCCAACAGGCTCAGTACCTTCTATTTCCCACATCGCCAGCTAACGTCTTCGAGCTCACCTGTGTATCGGAACCCGTGAATAAAGCCTCCAGCAGATTTGCGGAAGTCAACTGAGTGGCTTGCAGTGCCCAGTACGAACAGGCCTCGAGTTGCTTTGGCTTCATAGCTGGGCTTGATCAAAGGATATTTTTTCTTACTGCCTTTGCCATGCATCAGCCCAACAGATCTGATTAGAAAAAAGAAATAGCACGTGCTGTAATTCAAGGCCTAGGAAGTGGTAACTGGAAGCCAGCTGGATACAGAGAATGAATCAGAGGTGATGAGCAGGTCATTAGAGAGGAGATCCTCCAACTCTCACCTAAATGCATCCTCCAGAGGGAGCTGATGGCAACGCTAACATGGGATGAAACCACCGCCTGAGTCACAAGGTAGCTCTTTACAGACACTACCAACGCAGCACGGGAGCAGGCCATGCAAAAGAGGCTCCTACACCACAGTGGTAATGGTTGAATGGCCCTCATTCCAAGTTTAGTACACAATTTACCTTCTGTATCACGATCAAAGCAATGTATGTTGCACACCTTCTAACCCCTACCCGATTTTGAACACTTCAGAGAATCATATGATAGCTTACACTGCGATGTCAAAGAGGATTGTTAAGAGTAGACTCTCCCCTCCATGACCTGCAAGCCTGCTTTCAATTTTTAACACAAACTTCTAATTTAGAATGCTCATAGTCGCCTATAGTGAGTGACTGTTATCTCCAGGCAACAGAGAACAGACTGACGGCCATCACCACAAACCCAAGGGATTAGCTAACATAATGCTCTCTTGCCACTCACGGGTCAGCATTCTACTGCATGCATGTCAAAAGTGCAAGGAGTGGCTCAAAGATTTCTCGGCCTAAACCCCGACCCATTTTAATTAGGCTGAGACTACTTCAGCCACCTCATATATAGTCGATCTCATCTAGCCTTCCTGTCACTTTAGTGTCAGTTCAGTCTTACTTGTTAAATATGGAGAAGTCAAACTGCCAACCCAGGCAGCGAATGGCACGGTCATAGGGTGCCCGAGTGGCAAAGTTGTCCAGCTCGTCCTGAGGGAGGGTAACGGACTCTTCACTGCTGTTGTGGTTCTCCAGGTAAAAGCGAAGGGTAATGTGCAGCTTCCCTTTTTTATCCTTGACAAGAACCAGGTCTTCCAAGTCACCTTCCAGTAGGCCATCCAGAGATTTCAGCTGATATGTGTCCAAGAGGCCATTGTTAATTGCTCTAAAGGAGGATGAGTTGGGGAATACATCCAGAAGAGAATGAGATTTAGAGGTCTGCATGCCTCACTTGGAAACATCACAGAGGATGAATACAGACAACCCATTCAGTTGGGAAGCAGTTCACAAAAGCTGGAAGCGATCTTTTCCAAGAGTAAGTCAGTTCCTATATTATAGCCCTGTTTGTTTGTACTAGTGATTCCTGACAAGGTGCTTCTGGACACCAGGGCACTTGCCAATGTATTTCCTGGAGCTCACATACATCTTCTTCAAAACACCCTATCAAAACAAAGAGCCCATTCTGGTTCCCCTCATGTCACTGGAGCAGCTTTGTAAGAGCTCAGGAGCCATCATTTTTATGTCTGCACCAAGCACCCAATTGGAAACAGCTGCCTCCATAATACAAGGATGTTTGGCTTGAAGCTGTCTAAGATTCTGTGGAATATCCTAACATTTTGTGATTGTACCAAGCTCCTGTTGCACCCATTTTTGATAGGTTTCCTGCCATGGCAGCCATATTTCTGGCACCCATTACCTGTACTCAACATTTCAAAGGTGCCCACAGGTTCAACAAGGCTGAGGACCCTGGTTTAAAAAAATCAGGACTCCTGGAATAAACTTGGGAAGGGAAGACTGAAACGTACTGAAAAAGACTCAACAATAACAACAGGCAGTTCAAGGACACTTAATTCATGGCTCTTTGGCTGTGACACAAAGTATCAACTAAAAACAGAACAAAGATGCTACCTCTGGGAAATGAAATTCATAGTTTCATAGAGGAGCACGCGCGGACCTCTTGCACTCTGAGGCCCATGGAGGAAGCACTGCTTCATGTTAGTGACAGGTAGACTACCTAGCACATGGAGCAGGACCTTCATGATGTCCCACACTGAAAACAGTATGAGATCCAACAAGATGCTTCACTGTATGTTTACCAATGGATGGTAAAAATATTTTTATGTCTTGAAGCTTTTAAAAATCATGCTGCTCTATTTTGCTTATTTTGGCTTTCCTGTTTTTGTAATTTCATTGTTGCAGGTGAGATTAGTGTTATTTTTGCTTTGATTTATTGTACCATACCTTCAGCACACAACAGAACAGTGACTGATGATTCAACTCTGTGCAGAGTTACTACAGGCAAAGTACACGGGAATCAATGAAAATATACTGGAGCAACTCTGCAGAAGATGGCATTGCCAGAAATACCACATTACAGATTTGTAAATGGAAAGCGCTTCCAAGTCAAAAAAGGCACGAAGGCTGCATGATCGCACACTTCATTCTCTGTGTGCACTTGGAAACGCTGAATGGCTGCTGCCTCTCCATGGATGTGAATTTACAATGAAATAATTCTGAATTTAGCCACCACAAATACTAATATAAAGAAGTTTTCGCTACAGGTAAACTGCTTCCATGCAAGAAATGTTATTTATGTGCTTCTAACATTTAATATCCCACTGGCTAATCAGAAGGATCCTCACAAAAACTTCCAATTGAATAAAACACATGCACACAAAAGCAGACATAACAAATTACAAGTCACAAAATACTAAAAAAAAAAATCTGAACACAAACCAGCAATCACTAAAAACTGGCTCAAACTTAGCAGCAGCAGAAAGATTAAATAAAATTATACAGAATCAGCAGGAGTAGAGTTTCCTCTGGTACACAGTGGCACACTAACCCAGGGGTGGCCAAATTGCGGCTCGGGAGCCCCATGCGGCTCTTTCACATATATTGTGCGGTTCCCGGCAGGGTGGTTGGGGAAGCAAAGGAGAGGCATGCCTCCCTGATTGGTCTTCGCTTCCTCAGCCAGTGTTCCCTTCCCTGGGTAGGCTTGAGCTGGAGGGAGTAGAGAAAGAAAGCAACTTTAACTTTAAATGTGTTCTTAAAGACAGACAGACACACACACACCCGCCGCTGCTGGCCAGCTTGGAGAAGGCATTTGTCTCTTTAAACCCCTTCTCCAAGCCAATCCAGCTGGCATGGGGGTCTTGGAAGATGCATTTAAAGTTAAAGTTTCTTTCTTTCTTTCTTTCTTTCTTTCTTTCTTTCTTTCTTTCTTTCTTTCTTTCTTTCTTTCTTTCTTTCTTTCTTTCTTTCTTTCTTTCTTTCTTTCTTTCTCCCCTCCCTCTCCATCTAATCATTATCGATATCAATTTTACCCCTTTTGTTCTTATTTTTGGCAGTCTCATTTAATGTTAAGAAAAAGCAAATTTGCATATTCTTCTATAAAAACGTGTGGGTTAAATTTGTTCATGTCTTGTGGCTCTCAAACATCTGACATTTATTCTATGTGGCTCTTACAGTAAGCAAGTTTGGGCACCCCTGCACTGACCTTCCATATAGTGCACTCTGTCTCATGAAAGCTTATGCTGAAATAAATTTTGTTAGTCTTTAAGGTGGCAGTGGACTCCTGTTTTATTCTATTCATTTATTCAGCTTGAACAAAGTGAAGGTGCCTTTTGTTCCGTCACTTTTAAAACAGCTCTGGATATATTTACTACTTGAGGAAGACTTACCTCAGATCTCCAACGTAGTGGGTAGCCCAAGAAAGGCGAACTCGAGAGCGGCTCACCATGTGTATGAAATTGGTGACTCCCAAAATGTTCTCAGCTGTTTCAAAGGCAGAGTTGCCTCGGCCCAGGATCAATACTGATTGGCCAGCGAAGTCCTCTGGGTCAATAGACACTGACTCATAGCCCTCGACATATTCTGAACCAGGAAAGTTAACTTTGTGAGGAATCCATGTCCCCGTGGCCACCAAAAGAACACTGCAATGTAAGGTAACAATTTTGATCAGGCTCACCAAACACACAGCAAAGGAAAAGATCAGTTGTCCACACTGTGGCCAATTACATAGAATCACACAACTTTAATCTGAGGTTTACCTCAGTTATATTTAATATGGAATGATGGCCCTAAAAGCTAGTCATGGTTATGGATACAATGGCTGCTTTAAAATTAGTCTTCAGATAGTTCTCAGTAGTTTTACCCCTTACCATTATCCTTATACTAATGCTGAAGTTGCCCCTGGAGTGCGGATATCTAAATCTGCACTTCGGGGGCACCTGGGGGGGAGGGAGAGGTTTGTGCACACGTGGGCCAGTCCCCACGTGTGCACAAAAATAAAAAAAGTTGGGAAAAAATTCGGGGGGGATGTTTAAATCCCCCCGAAAGTGCAAGAGCGTCTCCTGCGCGTGCGCAGGAGACGCTCTGTAACTGCCGCTGCCGCTTGGGAGGGAAGCAGCGAGCAGGGAGGGGGGGCCAGAGCGGCGAGGGCCGATCGGCTTGCCGCAAGCCGATC